ATGTAATTGTTAATTTATTTATAAGTAAACAGAAAAACCCCTATCTTTTGTAATATATGTGGTTTTTTTTTCTTTTCCCCTGAAGAATGATTGTTGTTACTTGTTGGTTTATTCTTATGAGCTTATTTACCTTGACTGTGTTTTAAAAGAATCAAGAATGGATTCGTTGTGCTATATAATCATTGAGTTTTTGATTGCAGGAGTTTGATTTATTGTCCTTATTGTGCAGTAACCAAACTTGTTTATGCATAAATAATTATAGGAAAAGTAGCAAGAAAGATTTTTCGATTATAATTTTAGAGCAATCTGTTAATCATCTTGTTGTTAATGGGACGATTAATGATGATAACTCTGTGGTTGCTATGCATTCTGTTACAATAGCAAAGCTTCAGTTTTTTTTTGTGGTGACACTATGTTAATAAAGTAAAAACAAAATCCAAAAAATGCATATAATTTTTTCTGATTTTTTGGATAAAAAATTGAATCGAAATCAGTTGGTTTTGATCTATTTTGGTTTTGTTTGGGTTTTTTTTTTGATTTGGTTATATTTGTAAAGACATATAAAAATCCCCATTTGTTTTTTTTATTTTGAGAAATTAATTATTTGTGACTTGGCAAAATAATTTAATATAATTCGAAGTATAGCTCTCGACCTGAAAAACAGTCCATGCTATCATATCACACATCGATTAATATGAATTGACTATTAAAATAATATTATTTGATTTATTTATTTATTTTCCTTCTTGTTGGCAGATCAGAGTAACCGAGTCATTAAAAGACTAATCAAGTTTACTTAATATTAACAAGTCAATACGACTCGATTTAAAATCGGATCTAGTTCAAATTTTAGGTTTTTAATTTTCCGAGTCACTGCGAGGTAAAGCTGAATTTAACAGTTATGCTCGGAACTTGGAAGAGTTCATCACGCGGCCTGTATGCTGGGTTCGATCTAGTTAAATTCCGAGAGAGCCTGATTCTAAGCCCAAGAAGAAGCTCT